TGCATTGAATGAAATGGGAAAGAGAGAAAAAGACAAATATCGCATGATTTCACGTACATGTGGAATCTAAAGAATATACAAACAACAACAAAAGCAGTAATAAACTCATAGATACAAAGAATATTTTGAGAGCTACTAGACAGGACAGGGGTTGGGGGGTGGGAAAAAAGGCAAAAGGATTAAGAGGTATAAATGGGTAGTTGAATAGACATGGAGATGTAGAATGTAGCATGGAGAAGATGGTTAATAATGTAATAAATATGCAAGGGGGAAGAGGGGTATCAGCTTTAGTGGAGTGACCACTCTGCAAGTTATGTGGATCTCTGATTACTAGGTTGTACAACTGAAACTGGTAATATTATTGTATGCCAACTATAACTGAAAAAAGTCATTGAAATGTACAATGTAAATATGAGCAACTAATTGTCTATTTCAATAAAGCCGGGAAAAAATTTTAAAAAAAACTTCACTAACTTATATAATCACCTTTACTTTTTATATCCCTTGCAACCATTCCTGTATTTCTTTCTCCTCTAAAGTATTTGATTCAAAACGATTTTCAGTGTAGGTCTTTTAATCTTATACCCACTGTTGCTATGAAAACTGATATTAATTTGATCCTTGTTTATCTGTATGTAATACAGGATTTGTCTCTAGAAGTTTTTGGAATATTCTCTTGTATTTGATATATTTAGATTTCACTATAATATGTCTAGCTGTAAGCTGTTATTTCTAATCTTTGGCACTTTCAAACTGAGAAATATTTTTCTTTAATTCTATGAAATATATCCATATTATTTTTCTTTAATTCTGTGAAATATATCCATATTATTTTTTCTCTTTTCTATATTTTTATGTTTTGTAATTTCTAGGTATGCTATTGCCCAGTTGATAGCACTTAAACTACAACTCTTTGTATTCTTTCACTTTCTTTTATTAAAAAGATATTATAAAAAAGGATGTTATGAAAACTTAAACATCTATAAAATTGGTGACAGTATAATGAATCATTATAACATCATCCAGCTCTAACAATTATCAATATATTGGCAAACATTTTTTCAGCTATTCGCCTTGCTGTTTACTTTTCCCTCACAGCTTTATTGAGGTATAATTTACAAACCATAAAATTTATGAATTGTAAATGTACCTCAGTGACTTTTAGCAAATTTATAGTTGTGCAAACATCAGCACAACCAGTTTTAGAACACTTCCATCAACCTAATAAGTTCCCTCATATCTGTTTGCAGTCAATCCTCATTCTCCTGGAAGCCATTAATCTGCGTTATTTTCTCCATAGATTTGACTTTTCTGGACATTTCATATAAATAGAATCATAAAATATATGGCTTTTTATGTCTGGCTTCTTTCATTAGGCATATTTTTTATGGTTCATCCATCCGTGTTGTAGTGTGTATCTGTACTTTATTCCTTTTTATTGTTGATTATTGTATATGGAATACCATATATAATTTGTTATCTATTCGCCAGTTGGTGGATGTCTTGATCATTTCCACTTTTTGAGTATTATGACTAATGCACCTATGAACATTTGTGTGCAAGTCTTTGTGTGAACACAATTTTCATTTTTCTTTGGTAAATATCTAGGAGTTAAATTACTGGGTGGTTTAGTAAATTTATGTTTAACTTTTAAAGAAATTGCTAAAATTTTCTTCAGAGTGCTCATACCATTTTACATTCCTACAGGCAGTGTATGAAGCCTTCATTTTCTCTACATCTTTGCCAACGCTTCTATATTTTGTTTATTGCTATTCTAGTGGGTTTGAAGTGGTGAAGTCATTTCGTTAGTGACTAATGATGCATATTTTCATGTGGTTATTGACTATTTATAAATCTTCTTATCTGTTTTTAAATAGAATTATTTGCCTTTTTAATGTTGAGTGTATTCTTTATATAATTGAGATTCAAGTCTGTTATCAAATATCTGATTTGTAAATATTTTGTTCCAGTCTGCAGCTTGTCTTTACATTTTCATGTTTTTTAAAGTCTAAAATTTTAACTTTGATGAAATTCAATTTATCAGTTTTTTTCTTGAATGCATTGTGCATCATGCATTTGGTGTCATATCTAAGAATTTTTTCTCTAAATTCACAAAAATTTTCTCCTAAGTTTTCTTTTAAAATTTTATAGTTTAAGTTTTACATTTAGATATGTAATCCATTTTGAGTTAGTTTTTGCTCTTGTTTTTGTTTATGTATGGATATCCAATTGTCTAAGCATGATCTGTTGAAAAGACATCCTTTCCCCACTGAACTGCCCCAAAACAATAGAACATAAATGTAAGAGCTATTTCTGGACCCTATTATATTCCTTCGATTGCCTATGTGTATGCCAATACCACACTGCACTTAATACTATAACTGTATAGTAAGTTTCAAAATCTAGAAGAATAAGTCTTCCAACTTTGCTCTTTAAAATTAATTTTATTATTCTGGATCATTTCCACATAAATTTTAGAATCAGGATGTCCATTTCTACAAAATAGCCTGCTTTAATATAAAATACAAATTAAAAAGACCGTTTACTAGGCCCACAAACCTGCTGCAACCAGAGCAGCTGCTCTTCGATCTGTTATATATAGACTTGCATGTAAGGCTTTATTTGAGTAAGGATACTGCTGGTTTAAAAAAAAAAAAAAAAAAAAAACGCTGAAAGAAGCCAGACCCCTCCCAAAAAAATTTCAATGCTACTAACTATAAAATACTACCTCGAAGATGTCAAACTATTTAAAAATAATAATATAGTGATATTAAAAACTACATTATTTAGGGAAAAAAATCAGTGAGATAGTATTAGAAACATATTTGGCTAAGAAACTGATTAAACCATGTGAATAAATACTAAGATTAAAAGAACAGCCTTCTTAGACTTTAATTTGTGTTTATAGGTTCATCTGGAGAGAATCTGTCTTAAATTTTTTTATTCTGCTAATCAATGAACATAGAATGTCTCTCCATAAATTTAGATCTTTAATTTAGCACAGCAATATTTTTCTAAATTTCAATACACATAACTATCTTACATTTTTGATAAATTTATTCCTAAATATTTTTTTATTCTAATACTATCATTAATGGAATTATAGTCTTCATTTCATTTTCAGGTTATTCATTACTAATTGTATTTTTTATTTGATCTCATATCCTGCAACCTTGTTGAACTTATAGAAACACAATTGTATTTTTTATTTGATCTCATATCCTCCAACCTTGTTGAACTTATCTATTAATTCTAGTAATGTGTTTGCAGAATCTTTACGATCTTCCATACGAAATCATGTCATCTACAAATATAAAAGATATTATTTCTTTCTTTCCAATGACATGCCTTATTTTCCATTTTCTTCCACCCTCCTTCTCTCCCTTCTTTTTCTTTCCCCTTTCCTATTGCATTGGCTAAACTCTCCTGTATAGCGTTGAACAGAAGTGAAAGTGAAAACCCTCACCTCCTTCTTGCACTTAGGGGGAAAGCATTTGGTCCTTTTTGTCTTTATGTATGATATTAGTTGTAGGAGTTTTGTAGATGCCCCCTTATTCGAGTAAAGAAGCTCCCTCTATTCCTAGTTTGATATTTTTATTATGAAGGGATGTTAGATTTTGTCAAGTGCTTTTTCTGCATCTACTAAGGTGATGTAGTTATTGTCTTTTATTCTACTGATATGATGTATTACATTAATTTATTTTTGAATGCTAAATCAACACTGCATCCATAGGATAAATTCCACTTGGTTATAGTGTACAATCCTTTAGTATTACCGAGCTTGGTTTTCTAATATTCGATTAAGGATTTTTCCATCTACACTCATGATGAGTATTAGTCTCTAGTTTCCTTTTCTTGCAGAGTTGTTAGCTTTGATATCAGTATAATACTGGTCTAATAAAATGAGTGGAGAAGTATTTCCTCCTCAGTTTTCTGAAACAGTCTATGAAGAATTGATATTTCTTTTTCAAATATTTGATATACTTAATCAGTGAAGCCATCTATACTTGGGCTTTTCTCTGAGGGAAGATTTTTAATTACTAATTCAATACTTTTAACTTATTCTAGATCTACCTAGAATTTATATTTTTTGAGTAAATTTTAGTAATTTGTGTCTTCCTAGGAATCTGTCATATAAATTGTCAATCTAGCTGGCATACAGCTGTTCAAGGTATTACCTTACCATCATTTAAATTTGTTATGTTGGTAGTGATGACCCCTCTTTCATTCCTGATTTTGGTAATTTGTGTCCTATCTTTTTCTTTTTTTTTAAATTTTACTTTATTAGTTTCAGTATACACTACATTGATTAGACATTTAAACAGTTTATGAAGTGATAGATTTTAAAATACTTTCACAGTTATTTTATACTATGGTAAGTAACACTGAGTTTTAGGACTCTGAGTTTCCTGGCTTGCTTTAGAAAAATTATATTAATGTCATTCAACATTTGTGTTTTATCTTTCTTCCAAAGAGTTCAAATTGCATTGTAGCAATTATAGAAATCAGAATATGAGATTAGAACTGGAAGGAACCTTAACAATAATCTAATTCGACTTTCTCATTTTATAAATGTGTTCACTTAAATATTAATTTTCATATAATTCAGTCTCAAGAAGGCAGTTCAATGGGTTTAACTTGAGATGTAGAAAGGTTCGTATAAAATATATAGTCAGATAAATCTAGTACTATTTAGTTTAAGAAATACTGAGATCCCTGGTTTTCCAGGTTTAGATTAAGTAATGTACTTTTAGCCAGGAACTGAAATTACCAATAGGTGTTTTCTTAGGGATAATCTTCACTCATTAACCTGATTACCTCTTACTCTTTCTAAATCGTTCCTTAGTTGTTTATATATGCTGGTTGTGAAGACTGACTAGGAAGAGATCATTGTATATACTCACTTTAGTCTCAACTTATCTTCACCTAAAAGTGGACAGGTCTGAAACAAGATCACGTCCTTTCTTCATGATCATTAGACTCTTCCACATTCAACTTACCAAGTCTTTGTCTAAAGCCCCAGGGACAGACTTGCTTCTTATATTTACAGTATCCTCTGAGTCTTCTGTAAATGACCCACTCAAATCTAACTCAGATTGAGTCCGGTCTAGAAGAAAGAAGAGAAAAGGAAAGATATGAATCAGCTTATTCTGTTAGAGGCTTTAATTTTTTATTAAATTGCAAACGTTTAATCTTTATTCCATTCTTTATAGGCATGGGGCATAAATAGTGTCATGAAAGCAACAGTCAAGAGTCAGTAACTTCATGCCGTTTATGCTATCACACTTGTTATTTTTTTATAGTATTTTGAAATTTCCTTGGATTGAGTTACCAAACTAACATGTTTACTTCTCCTTTGATCACAGGAGATTAAATGCCCTACCATAAAACGCTAATTGTAAGCTCTTTAAATCATCTGTTTTGCTTGTAGACATTGAAAAACTCTCCTAGAATGGCCCTCAAGCTTAGAAAAAATAAGACAATAGCCATTTTTAAAAATTTAGATAATTCATACAAAAAGGTATGGCTAAAGGTAAATTGGGAGGAAGCTCTATTTCTTTAGGCACCGGAGCATCTTTGATCAGAAGAACATCTTGCTTTTGAAAATATAAGTTAAAGGACAATGCACTACTCAGTAATGCTGTGAATAGCTTACCAAGACACAGACAATTTATTTCCACTGAACAGTTCTATGTCAAAGTCCTGCTGAGAGAGATATAGTTGCTTATAAACAAAAAAGATTTAAGAGAGCAATCAAGTACTAAAGTTTGAAACTGTAAATGAAATAATGCAGAAGTACTTAACATAGTGTCTGACACAGAGGACTCAATAAACAGGGGCTGTTCAGAAGGAGGAGTAGAAATATACTCTAGGAGGTTCGCTTCTAGACTAGTTTAAAATCTTGCATTTCACAGGTGAGCCGATTTTCTAGTCCTGAACAAAATGCAACAGTAACCATACACATTTATAAAACCTTTGGGAGCCACCTGGCTAGGAGAGATTCCCCAACTCAGCACACAGAATCCAGCATTAGGCTTTATGCAAATATCATCATTAGGTAACAAGTAACTTTTTTATGTTGAGGATGTTGTCATGATTTTAATTCTACACATGGGACATAAACTTCATCATTATGACAAATATGTCCAAAGAGTGCCTTTATGCATAGTATTACATAATGAAATTGCAACATAAATAATACTTGTTTCACAGGGTTGCTGTGGTGATGAAGTGAAATGACATATTTGAATGTCCCATACAAATGGAAAGGGTTATTATTAAAACCTTAATGCTGCTTGAAAATAATTCTTTACTTAAACCATGAAATAATTAATCTGTCTAGATATAGGGCATTTCTGACCACCATATCAATTGAACTACCATTTCCTTGAACTCTGGGCAAGAGTCCTTATCTTTTGTATCAAATGAGACAATTATATTTCTTACACTCTTATACTGACATTTGGTATAGCTCTGAAACCTGGCAATGATGCCTGGCAAGGGTATACACTTAATAAATGGATTTTGCATGAATGTAAGAACACATCACCTCCTTCAAGCAATTCTTATGGAGTGGGCCTACCACCATGGATCAAACATGAACGAATTTTTTAAGGCATGAAACATCCATTTAACGCTACACAAAAGTATAGCTCCATCTGATTTAGATATTTTGTACAACAGAGTAGTCATGTTGTAAATACCTACCTGAGGAGAAGGAGGCCCCAGACACTGCTATGGAAGGTGTAACAGAAGTTTTTCTGCGATGATTCTTTATAAGGTCCTCTGAGGTTCTTTCAAAGGCAATCAAATCCATGGAATTTTTAAAACCGTGTTCCTTCTCACAAAGTGAAAATAAAATAAAAGAAAAAGCATTATACTGGCACTAATTTCCTTTAAAATTCTTCCATAGAAATATACTTCTGTATAACCACGTTTATGTGTATACTCTTTAGGAGGAGCTAGTTGATATTTGGAGGACCCGCATCTGGAGTCCATATAATTCTAAAACTATCAATAATCACTTTCTAAAATCTATAGCAAGAGGCTTATTAATTATCACAAAAGGCATTCGAAATAATTTTTCATTCACAAATTTAGTGAGTGTTCTAATATATGGTTAGCAAGAAGAATGATACAGGTACCTCCAATCTTACATGAACTATGTACAAGAATCTGGCAAGCTTCATACCCTCAGAATAGTACTGAGGCTTAGAACTCTGTTTTTCCCCACTCTCAACACCCTCTCTCCTCCACCACCCTTTATCTCCTCCACCCCTATTTAACAGAAGACCATGCCACTTTTTCCATTCAGCAGACTGGATGATCAGAGCACGGTTGGTTACATCATTATTGGAATGAAACTTTCATGCAAGTGGCTTATCAAAGTTAATAAAAGGATAAGGAATGGGGACTTTCCCAGTTTATAGAAATAGGTTACTTTTGGGGGTGCCTGCTTGCTAATAAATGTGCATGTGGCAGAATTCAGTCAGAGACTTGCTTTCATTGTAACATACAATAAAGGAAAACTCTGTCCCAAAATTGTCTAAGCCCGTAAGAGCTTGGCAATTGCATCACTCCAAGTTTGCTTGAGCATTACAAAACTAATTTGAAACTTTTGAGAACTGGAATAAGGTTAAATGTCCATGTAAATGATACCACAGTGTGATAATGACCAAACTAAAAAGAGAAGTTTCAATTCCCCCTTCTATAAACAATCAAAAAATGCCTTTTAAAGTCCTACAGGAAGGAATTCCCTCCTTGTTGCCCTATATGAAGCCCATACCTTAGACACTGAGGGAAACAGATGATCTCACTCTAGAGAGATGTGGTTCTCACTGGCTTAGCATACATACTAATTAATGCAGCTTCAATATAGACTGTTTTTGGTCTTTGATTATTCTCTAACACATACTCTCTATAGCAGGAAGAATGTAGCTTCTAACTAACTGCCGTAGACTACTAAGGTTTATCAAAAGGCTATGACAGAGGTCAAACAGATAAATAAGTTTAGGTCAGTTTTCAACACTTCTTTAAAACATTATTCACACATGGAGTCCTCCGATGAAGCAAGACCAACTTCCTTAGTGGCAATTATGTTGATAGCAAATTTTCCAATTGGTTCCCTGGGACTATCAGTAATATTGAGCTCTAATAGGCCAATTAATATTGCACAAGCATTAACACGCAACACATACCCTGGAGATTCAGGATGTGAAACCTAAAATTAACAAGGTACATCATAGCAGAGGACAAGTTAGAGACTTTCATGTTCTAAGAGTTTCCATTTTAAAAACTTACTTCTCATATGCTAAAGCAGAAAAGAACACTAAAACAAAGAGAAATGGGAGAAATTAAGAAGCTATCACCTTGATCATCATCTCACGCTATATACTTCTTCCCTTCATCATGGAAGAGCAAATGTGCTTCTTAAAGTACTGTGCTCTTATGTTTATTCAACAGAAAACATTTCCCTTTGTCTCTTTTTGTCTTAGAAAAGACTAGCTAGACTAGCAAGAGCGAGAAAAACACAGGCAACTGCTTATATATGTACATATACTGAACTGCATTGCAGGGGATTTCTATTGGGGAAATCAGTGTTTTGTTTAATAAAGAAATATTCATGTAGACGCTGTTAGTTCTGAGGGTATTAGTACATGACAAGCATGACTTTTTTCTCTCGAAAAATTGTACTTAGGAAGATAATGCTTATTTTGAGAACGAACTAGACCAACTTACTGGTTATTGGACAAATGGTCTGCCGCTACCCATTGGTATGGCTGTACCAACTGTTAAAAAATTTTAAAAACTTCTGCATCAGTTTGTAAACAGGACTACTCTCAGTCCACGCTCAACCCCCTTCCCTGTGCTCCCCACCTCTACAACCCTAGTTTCCCCATAACCCAGGTTAATGCATGACATGGAAGGGCCCCCAAGATACTGCCCTAGCCTTGTGCCAGTATTTGTTCTTATTGCTCAGTTGCTAAATATTTTGAATATTATTCCTTGCCAAAGAAGTGAGCATTATCATCAACTACCTATTCGTTTTTCTGGCTATTGAACAGCACTGCTTGCTGAGCTTAATATAAATATTTATAAAATTTTAAGTATGCCTTTTTTCTTATCAGCAAATATAATTTAGTGTTTAAATATATCTATTATATTAATTATTATTATTATTATTATTATTATTCGATTTGTCTGAATGCCTTTTGGCTCTTCCTTAAAACAAAATCTGTAGAATCTGAATGCTTACAACCTTCACTTCTATTTCCCTGTTCCAAAGTCAAGTCTCTTGCCTGCAGTAATGCTATGGCTTCATGGCTTCTACTCTCGTACCCCTACCGCTTCTTCTTAACACAGTCCCCAGGTCCTGCATAAACAGAAGGCAAATCATGTTGCTCCTCTGCTCAAATCCTCCAACTACCCCCATCTTATCCAGAGTAAATGACTAAGTGCAAACAGTGATCTACAAGGCCCCATCTGGCCTTATCACCTCTCTGAACTCATTTCCTATTATTACTCTTTCCTTCGTTCACTCACAACAGCCACATTGGCTCTCTTGCTCTTCCTTGAACATACCAGGTATGCCCCCAACTTGCGGTCTTTGCACTAGCTGTTCTTCCAGGGTCATTAAAGATACTTTGCACAATGGCTGAGCAAGGGCATTGACTACTGCAGATGGAGGCTAGCCATAAATAATTGAACAGCCTTCCTGTAATGTACTTGCTGAATATCAGTGTTGTCTCCGCCTGGAGGAACAATTTGCCCCAGACTCCCTCATGGCTAATTCTTTCACTTCCTTCAAGTCTTTGTTTGACCAGGGTCTGGCTTATAGTAGACCCTCATTAAATAGTGGCTGACTCAAAAAAATTGAAGTATGTATATAAAGACTTTTTAAATACAGATGTCAGCTATATATATTATTTCATGCTTTATCAAAAAAAAATCTGGTATATGCTCATACAAAAGAAAAGCTTCCATATTATATATGTTATATATTATATATTTACACATATGCAATTTCAGTTTTCATTATGTGTTGACCCCTTATTTCAACAGATATATAGAAAAGAAAACTACAAAAAGAGTTCAAGATTCTACTTTTCCTGATTTAAATCAGTTTGGAAAAAATTTTTAGTGCAGGCAACATCTTGAGAAGTAACATGGAAGATCAAAATCAAAGACTTCTTAAACTTATTTGTATTTTGTTCAAATCATATAGCCATTTAAACCCTCATTATACAAATGCCACTTTTAACCTGTTCTTTCCCTTTCCTTTTCATTTCAGGGAATCCTGCCAGGAGCTAAGGATGCAACAGGTTCGGTCCTGATAAAGAAGCTTCTATCATTAAGCAATGTAAACAACATGTGCTGAGACACAGAGAGTTGAAACCCAGTCATGCCACAGTGGTGAGGTTGAGTCCCGGAAGCCGGTTGTCCTTTCGCATCTGTGTACTTACTCTATTACTGACTGAGGTCACACTGCGTGTGCTTGAGGCTGGTGACTTCTGAGCGACTGGGGTCATACCATTGGTCTGGCTGCTCTTTGGGATACCAGGACCAGCTTCCTGGTCATTAAGATCTGATGAACCAGTGCTTCCCCTAAATGAGAAAGAATATTCCAAATTAACATGGAAGCAGAGCAGCGACAAAAGATATAGTCAAGGAAAAGCTTACGAGAAAATGATGACAAGGTGTAAATCACAAGATGTACAACCAGAGTCACACTGGAACTGGTCATCAACTAACATGACACCATCCTCCTCAAAGACCTTCATGACTCACTAGGTTCAGCCCCATTAGTCTGACTCCAGGATCTTCATCATTGAACTTCACCCTACCTTTCCAACTATATTTCACACAGCTCACCAGCACTCTCCCAGCCAGTCCAGGATCCTTACTATCCTCTCAACTCACCATGCTCACAGTCATGCATCTATCTCTAAGGTTTTTGCTCACATTCTCCCCACCTGATATGCCACTCTCAATTCATGCAAATCTTCCCCGTCCTTCAAGGTTCAGATGAAGTCCAGCCTCCCCCATCAGACCCTCTTGTCAATCACAGGCCTTGTCAACCTTTACTCTACCCAATTCCTATTCACTTACAGTCTTTACCAAAATATGTAGCACTTGAGTACACAATGTCTTGTGTGGCTCCCTAACTTATCCACATATGTAGGCCTGGGTGCCTCTAACAACTGTAAGCTCCTTGGAGACAGAGTTCATGATATATTTACCATAATATCTCCAGCATCTTCATGATGTCTTGGTGCAAAGGAGGCACTCAGTACATATTTAATCAAAGACTGGACATTATATTTTATTTCTATGTTGTTTTAGTGACTGACTCATGGTGCACATTTAATAATTGTGGTATGAAAATAATGACATTTGGCAAATGAGATTGACTCACGTTCATGTTTGCTAAAACTGATTCGGTTCCATTCAATAACGATTAATGAAAAAACAGGTCTTGCCCTTGAGGCGATCACACATTTTTTCATGGAACGTAGCTTCATAAGTAAATATAAGCTTGACAAATTAGTGTTGAAGAGTTTGTTCTTATATTCTTTACCCTCCGTTAACAAAGAATATGCTTAGTGGTAAAACAATTTTATGAATTTCACTCTTTCAATTACTATTTTAATAAGTTATAAGTGTACCTATAATAATAAATATCTTACTGTTAAAGCACGGCAGTGATAGCGATTAGAGCTTACAGTTGAACCAATCAGAGGAGAGACTTAATGTAATAAAGGAAAGGTGCTTTTAAAAAGAATGTCTGACTGTGCATGTGTCATTACTAGAAGATAAATCTGTCAGAAGAATTGGCAGTGACCACTGGAGTTATCAACTACAGCTTATAGGTTTTTCAAAGCTGTGCACCAGAAGAGTCGCCAAAATCAAATATGCCCTGATTGATACTACCAGCTGCAATCACCCTCAATAATTATGCAAACAGCAGCTTCATTTACTGAGTATTTTCTAAATGTTAGACACTTTCCGTTCACCAATACCCCTGTAAAAAAAAAAAAAAGGTATTAACATTCCTACTCTAAAGTTGAAGAAACTGAGTCTTTGAGAGGTTAAACAATTATTCTGTACATGCATGCATGTGTATGTATACATACATGCATGCACGCGCACACACACCACCACCACCACCATGACCACGACAACCACTACACTGTCACACATATAGTACATGACAAAGTGAGGATGAAAACAAAAAATTATCTGAGTGTGCGTATTATTGCTTACTCATCATTTCATCAAGATCAACTTGTTACAACCGGGCAGGTTCTACATTGATAGAGGGAGCTATCAAGAAGATGATCAAAGGAAGAGAGCTGGGGGTTAGTTTCTTGGGATTTGATTAAGAGAACTATGAAAAATCTCTGGTGGCATTCCTTTGATACTACATAGAAACAGTCTCTGGCTTCTTCTTTCTAGAATGGCACTCTGAATAAATTATAGTACTCTGTGGACTCTGCTTAGGAGAAGTCTATGACTATGTCTTTTTGATTCTGACAATAAGATAATAAATTTTGTGACTAAATAGATTAAATAAATTCTAAGTTCCCTGGTGATTTTCCTGAGCCCTCCTACCTCAGATGTTACATTTCTTCACTTGACAACAGTTAACCATATTCATACCTTTCCAAGTGATTCTGCTCATTTCAGTAGTCCCATTTAGAAGAGCTTATAGATCTACCCAGTAATGCTGTGCTGTGACCATAGGTTCTCTACTCTCAGAATATTACCTCAAAAATC